TGCACCAGCCTTTGGAGCAGATCAGGGGTGATCAGCCCCTGCATTGAGCTGTCAGGAGCTGAGTGACACATCTATAGATTAACAACCTGGCCTGTCAGGATGGCATGTATTTGCTGCATGCAAAAGATGAGACATCTTTTTTCCAAAAAGCAGGACTTGCTTTACAATAGACCTCTGCCGTGCCCACAGCACCGATTTTTTTTCCTGTCACTGAACGCAAACAAGCTACAGTCTGGAGTAAAATATGGTTTACTAAGCCACTGAATTGATAGAGCTTCATATTCCTCTGTGGCAGATGTTACAAATATGCAGACAGACAGTCCTTATTGATCCAAATGGTTTGCAGAAACTCCATTTGAAAGCATATGTTTCTCTGCTATGACATTTTGACATGAATGACAAGACAAAGCCAGGAATGCAAATACACAAAAGGAAACTGTTCTTGTGTTATAAAAGCACATTCCCCCTTGTCAACGAGTTGGAGTTGGGTAAACGTAGCACAACTAATCATAGCCCAGAAGAGATGAGTGAGCTGATCTACAGACATAGAAGAGGAGGGGAAATCAAACAGCACGGACTTAAAACAACAACTTGGACCCCTACGTGCACAGCCCAATACAATCTCTATTTGTTCTCTCCGTGTGTCAGGATCAGTCTGACCCAAGTTCCCCTATTTAGCAACATGTGGACTTTAGGAAACCTTTATGTAAACAGTGACAGGGGCATACAGCAACCTCCATGTCCACAGTTTACACCCCAGTGCGTATTCATACTCTGATACAGCATTTCCCCCACTTTATTTCCAAGCCTCACCAACCCTCGCTGAGGAGCAATTCCCACCCCAGCAGCTTGCCTACACCACCACAACTCCTATCTGGAGAACTTCACACCCCACTCCCCCACCCCACCTATTACCCCTGCTCTCGGGGGTAGCCCCACATCCCCCTTCCCCAGTAGCTTCTGCCACTACAGCTCTGATGTTCTCCTGTGCTCTTCCAGCACCACTGCAGCAGACATGAGCTCTCCAGGAAGCCCACAGAAAATGCTGCCAAATGCCTCACTCCACACTCACTTCGCCACACCTCAGGGTCCATGCTGAGCTGTGGCCTCTACTACCATGTTCGTGGTTACTATACTTGAAGTTGAAAGCTATCATGAGCAAAGCACCCTCCCAAAAATTGGTTCTCGCCATAATCCAAGCTGGCTTGAGAAGAAAAATATTGCAATACGTTTTCCTGGCCAGTTCTTAAATGGCAGCTGACATGCAGGAACTACTCATTTTCAACAGCTACACCCAACACTTCTCAGGGGAGTTTTTTCTGTCACACATTATCCACCCAGCAGCAGCAATATCGCCAACAAACAGACAAACCCCACAACACAGCGCACACGGACACGTCCATCTCCTCCATCCAGAGCAGGACAAGCCTGTCCCTTCTGCCGGGGGCAGCGCACCCCAACCAGGGCCCAGCTCAGTCCTCTGGGATCCCTACTAGTGTACCAAGGTGAAAGAGGGTCTGCAGCTGCAGATGAAGATTTTCACTTAATGTCATCCCAGATTTATTTATGGGTGAGAACTCTCTGTCTCAGGATGAAGAAGTAATTCCCAAACCTAAGCCCATCCCCATTTCCCTGTGCTGCTGATGTGGTGCAGTATCCCACAGCTATTAGTAGCCACATCATGAGCCCTGGGCATGCTGACCCCAGGTGCAGGGCAGCACTATCAAATGCTTGAGTTATGTTGTTTGGATCTTGAACCATTAAGTATATCCATTTCAGCAGATTAAAATTATGCTTTTTATATAAAACAGGGAAACATTTCCAGTGTCTGCTTAGATTTATTTGCAAATATGCATTTCAGCACTTTGGTGGGCTGGAATATTTTTCTTCTGGTAAGTATTTAATTTGATTGGATTGATCCAATATAAATCATATAAAAAGTACATTAAACAGAAGTCAAGTTTTTTCTGCTGATATATAGAAAAAAAATACATAAATCTGGGATCTCTCTTCTCCACAGTTCATTGTCATGATTGTATGCTCTTTTGTTCTTTTAGCTGCAATTCTCACCTGAAGTGCTGGGCTCCTTTGTGCTATACTTAACCACTTTGAAAATAATTCCATCAGAAAACAAATACATACATTTTGCAAGAGGGAAAGAAATTAAGAAAAATATTGAAATATAGAATCTCTCAAACATATTTTCTTTAATAAGTGACTTTTTAGAATCAGAGTCTAAAAGCAGCCTGATAATTAACTAAAGGTCTTCTAAAACCTCTGGTTCCATATCCTTTTACATACAGCTTCAGTTATGACATGATAACAAAACAATCAATAATAATAATAAAAAAAGCATTCTTTATCTTGAAAACAACCTGGGGGCATGTTGAGCTGCAATTTGTAGTTTCCCACCTAGAAACATTTCAGATGATTTCTACGGTACAGTCAGTCACATCTAACATACTATTTGGAAATCATTTTGTGTCCCAGATGGTCATCCAAGCAGCTGAAAACTTTGGCAAAATGTGCAAACACTTTTTTTCTTTTTTTGTTCAAGTTTTTTCCCTACCCTGGTACTTTCCATGTCTGTGCTTATTTATGATTCTGAGGACTTATTTCCCCCCCTTATGTTATTTAGGAACCAAAACAGATAGAAACCTTAACACCCTCAAAACTACAGAGCTTTATATCTGCAACAGTACTGAACAGTTACTAAGAGATGAGACATCTTCCAGTGAGACTTAGAAAAAAAGGAACTAAAAAAAAAAAGACAAAACAACTTTCTTAGGATGATTCTCCATTACAACGTGATGTGAATTTACTACCAACATTAACAGATTTCTAAGCAAGCTGATATCAATTTAAATAGGGGAAAAAAATAAAGTAATTTAAGTAGTACCCTGTAAGTACGCAGTTAAAAAGAAAATAAATCCCTCTAATAAGCCTGACAAATAAACTTAGAAGAAAACAAACTCAGTAAGAGACTGAAGCCTTACATGTTACTTGCTTCTATTATTAGTTACCTTGCAAGCTTGAAGAAGGCAAGTTTCTGCGCTGTTTCCTCTCCAATACGAGCACTAACAAAGCAGCATCCTTATCCAGAGACAGAGGCAACTAACTGCTAAACCTTGATGCTTACTCCCAGAAATTAGTGGTTTATGGGCAGCTGTGTGAGGCTGATTCTTCCCAGCTGCAGACCTAAACAGCCATTGGGAGTGTCATCCAGCAAACAGCCCACAGCTGGTTTAGGTGCAAATCACTGATTGAAGCTGATTTTACCCAGCTGAGTGAGAATCAAGTCAAAAAACTGGCATCACCAAACAAATAATTCCAACTAGTAAATAATATAATAACTGTTTCTTGTGAGAACTGAGAACAAATGCTGTTTTGGTTCCTAAAAATTAAGAAAAATAATAATTAACTCAGGTGACTGCTTGTATGATGGAATCTAGGCTTCTCATGCAAGTAATACAGCTTTGCTAGACATCTGAGTTGTAACCACCCTTTCCTCCCTCCCCCTTCACCACATGTTCATCTTTACCTTTAATTTTGCTTCTCTTCAGTTTTCTTCTAACTTTCACTTTGCCTTTCCCAGGGTTGCCAAAAGATGTGGATTCTTTGGGAAACTTCCAAGAGGGTTCCCCAAATGTGTTGTGTTTAGATCTATGTCATTCTTAAGGTGCTCACAATGTAAGTTCAAGTCAGTAGAGGAAAATAAAATAAAATGGTCTGAGCACTATGGTTGCTCTACTGCCCCAGTAGCATGATTACCTCTGAAAGGAATGCTCCACTTGCCACCAAGCAAACAGCTTTTAGCCATTCTGAGAGGAGAGGTATACCTAAATTTGAACAGATTTTAAGAAGAAATTTGTTCTCTAAGCTATTTCAGCATACAGTTTAAACTCAAATCCATGTAAAGTGCTTAAAATTGTAATAAATGTTCCCCTTTCTGGTTCATTTTTTGAGACTCTCAAAACATTTTGCTTTTCAGAGCTATTGTTGAATACAATTTTATGGGAAGCAAAGCTCTCAAGCCTAATATTAAGAGCCAAATTTTCACCTATTCACACCCTGTATGCTTGACCCTTTCACTAGAAGGATGCTGATTTACACAGGTGAGAACCCAGGTTTAAGTGTTTTATTCTATCAGCAGATTAAGTGAGTTGTTTTGCTGAGACTTCATCTACAGTGCAGCAATGGTTATCAAAGCAAGGCAGATATTGGGAATTTCACTTTGCAAGACAAATATTGCACACATGTAGTTGTAACTCAGCATAAAAACGTTCTATCAAGTTTCAACTCTGAAATTAAAAAGCACAATTACTCTTTTTTTCCATTGCAATAGGAAAACATGACATACTAAGAAATAAGAGCAATGCATTCTTCAGATTGCAAACAGATTGCCCGTGGATTGCAAGCAAATAGAAGAAACGGAGTCACATTTTTGTATGAAAATAAAGTCATTTCTAAACTAATGGATCGATAGAACAAGACGCACTACAAGTGCTGTGCCACAGATGTCACTTTCGCAAAAGTTCATCAGCAAAAGAGCACGATAAAAGGAAGGTATAGGCACTCGATTTCCATTTCATGTACAACCACCTTCGCAATGTAAACATCCTGGAGAAGCTGGAATATTTGGGATCATATATTATTCCCTTTGTTAAGCACTCGGGGGAAGTTCCATTTGAAAATCAAGGGCGCAGTTTGGTCTTCAAAGTTTTCAGGAATTTCTGCAGTTTTTCTACTTCAACGTGCCAGATATTAAAAGCGAAGGGTCAAATCTGCAGGTGGTGCAAATAAGCACAGCTCTGTGAGAGCTTTGAGGTTATGCTCATTTACATCACATGGAAATTACACTTCTCACTTCTTCTGTGAGTAACTGCGCATGTATATATATATATATATGCATGAGTGTGTGGTGAATACATGTTGTATAGAAAGTGAAAGCTTTGATCTGTCAAAAATTAAGATACAAATATAAAACAGGAGTCAGAATATGGAAATCATACATTCTGCATTTACTTTGAAAACTGAAAGTTATGGGGAAAGAAACATTGTTTATGTTCAAGGAGAACCTAGTGATTTGCTTAAATAACCCAAAACCAAACCACCATCACATGAAAGATTTAACAGCTTCCTGTCATGGTTGACAGGCTCAAGCTATGACTTGCTAACTTTTATATAGACAAATAATTACTAGACAGTGACAGATCCATTGTGGATTCCTACTTTTACATTATAGACCCTGGTGCAGCAAAGCATTCAAGAAGGTTAACTTCTAAGCAACTGAATAGTCCCAGGGAGTTTGGTAAACTAACTCACCTGCTTAAAATTAGTCATATATTTGAGACGTGCATTTTAACTCCATTGTTAATCAGTAAAGCACTTCAACCTGTGCATAAAGCAGCTGCTTTCTAGAGGGCTTACACACATGCTTAAATACTTTTCTGAAAGAGTAGTGTGTGGTTTTATTCTTCAGGATCCTGACCATCTTAGATGTAATCCTACAGAGCACTCAAACAGGCAAGTCATATTCTATTCATGAGATTCAGCAAAATCCAACATTGTTTATAAGTTAAACCACACTTCCAAACTTCACAGCACGTGGCAAGACTAAGCCAGAAGAACACTGAATATGGAGAGTGTTAAAGTTAATCCCCAAAATATACTGTAGTCACAATTTAGTCCGCAAATGCAGTTCAGTGTAAATTATTCAGTACAGTGGTTTAGACTATAATACGAAAAAGATCTAATGTGTTTTGTGAAAGCAATGACTCCTCAGTAAAGGAAGGTTTCAATCCCCTGCTCTGAGCTTTGCCATAACAAATAAATAGCATGCTTTGTGGTGAAATGGCAAGGGAGCAGCTCAAACAACCTCTGACAAGCTTGTTTGCTACAACATTGGTGCAGAGCCAGCAGCAGCGGCTCTGCTGCCATGCACCAGCAGCTCATCGTGGCTCTTCACCATCCAAAACACAGGATGTGGCTGGGCAATGGCCTCGTGCTGCTGAGGTGACCGAGCGAGCTGCTCACCCACCTCTGCTCTTGGAGGATGCTCAGGACAAGAGGTGACAGCCTCCTGTCCCAGGTACCGCCGGGGAGGGGGTGCCCTCTCCAGCCAAGGCACAGCTTGCAGATTTGCATCCTCGTCGCTACACAAGCATCTCCCTGCACCTCTTCTGGAGCATGCTCCTCTGCATCTGCTAAAATCTTAAATTGGTAATAAAAATGAGGGATTCTTCCAGTGCCAATAGTTGCACGCTTTCTCCTAAGCGTTTTTACAGGTACCTAGGTGTGCATAGTCTTTTTGCACAGCTATTTTTACCATAATTAATTAGTGTGTTTATGGGAGGTGGAAAGAAATGTCTATTTTTTCCCATGGCCATAGGTTTGTTAAGATGATAAGAAAAAGTATGACAAAAGAAGAAAGAAAAAAGTCTCAAGGCTCTGGGGGCTAAGTCTCTAAATAGGATAAATCTAGTCAGCTGACTAGAGCATTATTCATTTTTAATTAGTTTGAAGCAAATAGTGCAATTTGTGCCAAGCTGCAAAATCACACTGTCTTCATGAGGAACCAGCTTGACAACAGAGACAAATTAATCCCTGCAAGAGTATTCCTTCTGCAAACTCACCATCAATATTCCTCATTTAAAAAGCAGTATGCTGAGTATGCTCCTCCATTAGGCTGGTTTTGTATCACCGTTTGACTTTTCTTCCCTACTGCTTAAACTAGAAATGTAAAAATCTGGGGACTGTTATCAGGCCATAAATATACCTGTTGCATAATTATGCAAATCAAATTAGGAACAGTCAATGGAATGTATATTTACCCAAAAACCTGACCCAGGTTGCCTGCTGACTTTCTCAGGACGTGAATGCATTTTTACCTCTGTTCAAACACAATTTTTCATCTTAATGTAGGCAGTGATTTTGCTGCACCAAGATCTACAGCCTTTTCCAAAAAGCAGTGTTCTAATAAAGTGAAGAAATCTAGCTACGAAGGGAAATTACAACCTAGCTAAAGGGATACATTTGAGAAGACACTAAATTATCCCAACTCTGATAGTGATGATCCATTAGCAACAGTGGGGAGGGGGGAAGGGGCAAGGATCAGTTATCTTGGGCATTCAAACTACTATTTGGGAAGGAAACAATGTGGTTTGGCTTTGTTTTGATTTTTTTTGTCATATGAAATTGCACTGGTAATATTTGCAAAACAAGACATTAAAATCACTATACGTGTTGCTCTATCTTCGTCCTCTGACTGTATTTCACAGACCAAAAAAAGGCATTTACAGCCATTTCTACCAAGGTTATAGACATGGCCATTAAAATGTTTCTCTGTACAAAATCAATGGAAAAAAAGCAGAGCTGTGCTTATAATCAGGAGCTTAGCCCTGTCATTCAGGGATATGACTTCAGCAGAGAGCACTGCAACCATTATGCAGCAAATTCCTTGAAATCTTAAAGAGATGGCACCAGAGGGCACAGTCCCTGCAATGCCATTATCTCCTGCCCATTAAAGCTCTTCCTTGTTTCACTCCTTCCAGCCATTGGTTCCTCCCCATTTTCAGTCATGTACGCAAGACATAAAAAAGAGCTGACTGTTTTTTCTTAGAAGCTTTCCCCTTAACCTAAAACCTGTTTATCAAAGCATTTATATATAATATATATATGTCATATATATAATAGATACATATAATATCTATTATATACATAACAAAACACAGAAGGCTAAATAAAAAGAGCCACACAGCACAGCAGACATGTAGAACCACAATTCAATAACCCTGTGCTTAAACTTAGAAACTGTGTGGAAGTTTAATCCTTGTTAGAAGGAAAAAGTTCTCTTTTTCTGTTTATTGTTTGTTGGATTTTAGTTATAATTCACGTTTAAAACATTTGTTACTGCTATGCTAATACCAGCTGTTAAATTCTCCGAGGGAATTGCCATCTTGACTATAGAATCAGGTTCTGAGGAGAGGAGAGATCTGAGCATGGTGAACTTTTCTAGCAAGAACAGATAAGTTTTTTTCTCTTAAAAAAAAAGAAAAAAAAAAAGGACAGTAAGGGAATAACTGTTGAAATCCACAGAAAAAAAAACTACGGCCCTCAGTCCCAGTAACTGGTCTTCTTTGGCACTTGAGAACGATCACAAGTAGTTTGCCTTTTTATTCATATAGAACAAAATTTACAAAGTCATTCATACATTTTTGTTTGTTTTTTTGTTTTGTTTTTTACTGACTTCGAAAATTGGGAATATTCAAAATACACTTTTACCCCACTTCATTCTTTCATTATTTACAGGTATATACAAGAAAAACATAAGAGTTTGTTTTGTTTTGTTTGTTTGTTTGTTTGTTTTTTTTTTTCTTTTTCTTTTAAATTTTGTATTAAAAAGCTCTGCTGGTTGTTTTACTGTTTGTTTTCGTCATATGGATGTTCCATGCGAGGGCTCCATTGCTTCTGGAATGACTCCCCCTGGCACAGACTGAAATGACATTGGGATTGGGGTTTTCACGGGACTCTGACGAAATAGTCCTCCATTTGGTGACCTGTGTTTACACTGTATGGAGGGCATGGTGGCTGAGCTGCTCAGGGGCAGCGGCAGGTTGCTGCTGGAGGCAGCTGAGAGTGTCCTGCTGGCACCATGAGCTGTCTGTTCTGGTAAAAAGGTGGTGACAGAAAGTTGCGTGTTCTGGTATTCGCGTACCGGCTCCAGGGTCTGAGCTGGCTGCATGCCACCAATCTCCAAGGCTGAGATTTCAATGGACGCTGGAGAGATTTGCTTGTGGGCTATGTCTTCATCAATTAAACTGTTCATGCGTCTATGGACCTGCTCCAGGTTCACTTCTTTGTCCTAGTGAGGAAGAAATCAGAACAATCAGTCAAAACGCAATCTCCAATCCCATCCGGCCCCCCTCCACTTCCTCTGTGTGGCAGGAGCTGCTGTTCACTCATTACATCACTTTATTTGTGCCTATGAAAAACCTCGAGGTCTGCCCATCATCTCCAGCTGAGAAACACATGCTGAAAAAAATACCAGCTCAATCTCAGCCTGCAAAATCCCCTGATGCCCTCAAACCCACCCTTCTTGGAGGTAAACTGGTGGCTCTGGTTCACCTAACAGGAGCTGGCAGAGGGACCAGCACATCCCCCACAAGTCCTCAGCTCACTTTGCACAAGCCCAGAGAAAAAGTATATGGCAGGCAAACAAGCGAGCTGAGACTCCAAATTCCATGGAGCAGCTCGCCACCTTGTAACCACAAGACAGCTCACCCCCATCTCATCTAGTTGCAGTGCATTTTCTAAGGAACATGTCAGTAAAACGCTGTGCACAATCTAGTTGACTCCCAGGTAGTAGCTTCATGTGCCAAAATCTACTGGCCAGGGGTTGTAGTCATGAAGAAGTTTTCACTTCCCAGCAGGAATCCCTGGGTCACCTACATGGCACAGACCACAGGCCTACTGGAACAGCACTAAGAGAGACCTACTCTGGGAGCCCGGGGGAGGGGCCTGCTCACTGGTGTTTTGAACAGTCGTGTGACCAACTATAAACTGTCTGTTATCTTGACACATCACCTGGTAAAAGTCTGTCTGTGGTCAGAGCTTGGGAAATTAACGCTCGTCTTTAAAAAATACATCATCACCTTCACAGAATGCATTGCCTACGGCTCCCAGAGCAGTCTCTTCAAATGACTTTTGGGACCACTTACTCAACATGTTTTAGCTTCCATGAGGAAATACAGCCAAAGAAGTTGTCTTTAAAACCTGAAGCAGCAAAGAGCTACAATGGGCTGTTTATCACCTCAGCGCAGCATTCAGGCTGCTCAAATTGGAAAGCAACAAAACTGGCAGAGTAAAGTCAACCACCTGGGCTGCTGTATGGCTGAATTTTAATAGCTAGCATTGTATTTCCAATAAAAAGGTATTATATTATATCATTTCTCTATATTTCATAAAGCACAGCTATGATCTGCAGTTGTAGTTATTTGATGCAATTGTAACATACAGCAGACTAGCAGCAAAGCATCTATAAAAGCCCAACAATTCCAGAACTGGAGAAATTCCTTGGTCTGACAGAAACCTGTAATTACACTAGGCAGCCAGCAAGATTCCAGCCTAACAAGTAGGATGAACCAAAACTTTTGTGTTCCAGTAATCCGATTGCCCACAGATCAACACGTGCTTAAATGTTGATTAAACCCAACACCAGCAGTCTTACAGATGCTCCAACTCATACCAAAAACTAGGCTCTGGGAACAGAGAAGTATAAGGTGCCACTGACACCCATTCCTCTTGATCTTCTGCCACTGGTGTTCAGGTGGAACACAGAGAATTATAGTATTATTCCAGTGGTAGCCACTGCTATGTAACTTTGTTTTCACATGTAAATTGACAAGCCAACTCCAAAGCCCTTGATTCCAGTCAATGTCAACTACAAATTTTGATTCTAATCCTGTGATTTAACACCACCTTCTACATTACTCAAGAAGTGTTGGATTTGCTGATCTCTGAATGGATTTGGAAATGAATTAGTGTTACGTGATGACGAACCCAAACCTGTGTCCTTAGTTTAGGCTAAATCCATATTGATTTCAACTGGAGTACAACTGTTCAACAATTACAGGTCTGAGCTGCACGTTGTACCTCCTTTGCTAATCAGCAGAAAATTAATTCCAATTTCATTTACATCACAAAACCACCAAAAAGCCCAGTGAAGCTCCCAGAAACCTGGGGATTTTGTCTTCCCCACCAAAGAAACAAACTATTTTTTTAAAAAACACTCCTTTTTCAGCCAAACCCTCTAATCAGATAATTTTGTGTTAGAGAAAATCAATGGACAATAAGTAGAAAACCCCAAACTTTTGTGGTAGAAAGGGACCACAATATACTTGATCAGATAACCCCTGCAGCTGCATTAAGTCCTTCTTGCCAAAAACCGTACCTGATCTGTCAGGCTCTTCATTCATTAAGTTAGACAATGCACCAAGCTGACAATAACAGAGGCTATTCCATAAACTCTACAGCAACGTAAATTAAGGATTTGTGGTACAATGGCCAGAAGATTACACGGATTTAATTTATGATTTTATTTATTTCTATTTCTTGAAGTAAAATGGTGGGCTGGGGGCAAGTGTGAGCAGTGTTTTTGTATTATGCCCTGTTGGGGGTAAGGGCTCAACCTCTGTGGGCAGGTTCCCTCTGCACTGACGTCCAGCTGCGTATTGCTGTGTGCTCCTCAGGTGCCTGCCAGTGAAACCTTGCTGCAGAGTTCTGCTTTTCCACCAACTTCAGCTACCACCATGCACAATAATACCTGTGTCTACGGAAGCTAACTCCCAGAAGCCTGATATATAATGCTTCTTTAGATAACCTGTACTACTCCTTTTCTCAAAAATGCTGCCAGCTTTGATTTAGGCTGGCATTCCAGTTATCTGGGACCTATATTCTTTCTAAGCCCCTACTACAGAATAAGAAAAAAAGTAGGCAACTCAGGTTAGAACTAAGCAAATACTAGAAGAAATTTTCCCAAGTAAGTCTTTGGAGAAATGTTCATGACTCATTTGCATTTTTCTGAGCTTTTGCCAAATAGTAATTCCTTCTTCAGGTCATTTCAAGCGAAAATATAGATCAACATTTTATTTGTATTTGCATTTCTGATTGCAAGCACATCCTCACTGCATTCCATCCTGCTTTGCTACAGGAACAAATATAATGGGATTGGGCTAAGTAGCCAAGCCAGAGTGAAAGGTAGAGTTCTAATATTTGCAACATGCAGCCATTAACTGTTTGCAGAGGAACAATACATTTGTGAATGAAGTGTGCTCTTCATTTGGAGCATTTGTGCACAAAAGGTCATAAAATTCAAGGGATGAATTAATCCTGGTTATATATTCAGCTTAGTTCTTTTAAGATGTAAACATGAAGAGCCACAGATGGGATGCCCTTAACAGCCATCTCCTGGTCCAGACCAGAGGGGTTATAAAGGACCACGTCATTTGGAATGTTTCCCTCTGCTGGCCTAACAGGATTGCTCTTTTTTCTTCTACCATGCGCAGCCCAGCCCTGGGACAGCATCCCTCAGAAAATGGTGAATTTGCAGTTGCTTCTGTTTCACAATATAAACTTATGTCTCACTGTGCTAAAGTTTTCATTGTCAAGAAAAAGGAAAACATAATTCCTGCACACCAACATCACATTTTATCAACAACAGAACACTTGATGAAGTAAAGAAGTAAATGATTGGCATTTTTTTAAGAGGTAGGGGTGGGGGTTTCATTCACCTACTTCTTTCTTCAGCATTAAGGACAACTTTCTAGCCTTAATAACATCAGAGAAAAAAATTTAAAGGCTTCCAAGAGCCCAGAAGTTCACATTATTCCTTCTTTTTGTTGTTAAAATAAAATGTTTGTAAAGGTTAAGGAAAACAGCTCTGTCTCCAAGGAATAATAAAACCACATTTTTAAAGGTTCTTCCCTTTTTTTTTGTCTTATTATATGAAGAGAAGCTAAATAACTAAATGTCAAGCTATGAAACTATTGTAATGCTGAATGAATGATTTTTCAAATGCTTTTTAAAAACCCTAAGATAAAAATCAGAAACCCTTGAAAAGACTAGTTTGTCATTACATACTAGAAGACTGCCTTGAATCCCAAGATTTCCAGAACTGAAGGTTTTGGGATAGCTTTATTTGACAAGCCAAGCTTTCAGAATTTGTAAATTCTGTAAACATTATCTTTCTTTTCCCTTATTGTTCTCCCGGAAAATTCAGTAACAAATCATATGTTACTGAAAAGTAACAAGGTAAATGGAAAAAGGGTTAAATGGTAATAAAGCCAGAAGAACAAATCTTAAAACATTGTGATATTTTGCTCCCTTGTCACCTCAGTATTCTCCTTTATTTTTAGCTCTATAATTCTCATTAAATATGAGCCATTTTTTATAATTTTTAAGCACTTACTTAGATTGCTTTTTTTTTTTTTTTTTTAATTTCCTGAGGCTTTGTCACCTTAACTGTGAAATGGTAATGTAGCATTGCAAAAGATTTGCAAGCCTTCTGATGCTTTAACTGTTCTCTATTTTTGCATTTCTCTATGGCAAAATTAATGACTTAAAATGAATAAATTACTGTAAATTAATGAATTGAGGCTTGGAGCTAGGGAATGGCAGAGATACCAGACCTGGCAGCTGGATGGAAAAACAGTAGTCACAGCGGAGGCTGGTGTGCTGGTTTTCTAGCCCAGAGACTCCCCTTACCCAAAGGATTGCCCCTTGGGGGAAGCCTTACTGCTGCTCTTCACAAATGTTTCTGGCTTCAGCTCCACTTAGCTCCAGTTATGTCTCTTCAAGAGCTGAATGAAGGAGCTCTAAACTGTGACAGACACATTACCAAAGGTTTCTTCTCTTTTTTGTACTTAATATAAAAAACTTAATATTATAAATGTTGCATCTCAGATGTTTCATGCCAATTCAACTTCACTTTTCATATACAGCTACATTGGATAAATGTATATGCTTGTGTTGCCAGAAGGAGATCAAATATTTTTCCTTTGCTACCTTCATAATTCTATCTTCAATATTAATGTTGTACTCCAAATAGATCAGTTAAAGAAATTAATCAGTGAAGGGAAGAAAATATATCATGTGTAAGGGAAATGAATTATAAACACAGGCTTATCCTCCTCAAGCTTAAGGAAAACAGCTAACCAAACATTGCTTCTGGTCAGGAAATTATCTCATTCATAAATACCAATTTAAATGTCATCCTTCCGCAATGAGTTTGAGTTCTGGAAGGGCAAATGAAGGGCATGTTTCTGACACATCCCAAGCACTTGATCATGAGGGACTTGTTCAATA